TACCAATGCTCTTATTAGGAAGCCTAGTATAGATTTTGTCGTTCTTGTCGCATTAATGCTTTGAATTCATCATAGTCCATATCAGATTTTGGATCAAAATGACCGATGCTTTTTCCATCATTTGCTATATAATCAAAGTATTCATAATGTTCTCGATCTTCTCGTCCATATTTATAACATTGAATAGTAATAGCACTTTTATCATGTACATCAATATTTTGAAGTTGATGTGTTTGATTTAATTTTGGTAACATCCATGTTACTTGACCTTCTTCGAACATTGTTTCAATCGGTTTATAAAGATTGGTATTTAGTGTTAATTGTGGATAGAGTTTGACAAATATTCGACCATGAAGTACTCGAACAATAGAATATACATTTCCATGATTATGTATAGGACTACCATGGCCAGGTGGCCAAATTTCGGTGACATAAGAATGACCGGGTGCACGTCCTTCTCTTTTTCCTGCTGTAATACGTAAATAAGTTACCATCAAATTTGGTTTACCAAAACGATTTGCTTTTTCGACTAGTTTTCTATGACACCATCCTGCTGGATTTCTAATACTTTTCTCAATGACATCAACAAAATCTGGAAAATCATCCGTATTTAATTTGAAATTATAAACACTATGATATAGTTCACGGCATGGTCTTTGTAAATTTTCTACTAGCATGGCCGAATGATTGACTTCATGCTCAAGTGTATATTGTTCTTTTGGTATAATAATTAATGGTAGTTCATGTATAACAGGATCGTTTCCTATATAAAAACGAACTTTATCTTGTATATGACCTAGGTCCGTTAGCATTCGATCGTTCTTATTCAATTTAATATGTAAATACTGAATTTCTTTGATTTGTTGTAAATCACTTTCCTTAAGACTACTATTTAAAATAGTAAAGAATGGACGAATTTCACCGATACCATATAAAGCTTGCAGTGTAATTTTAGAAAAACTAATCCAATATCTATGCCAAGACCCATCATCCGGTTGAAGTGTATGATGCAATTCGGTTGATGAATCTGATGTTCCAAAACTTGTGCGTAATATAACTTCTTTTTCATCGATCGAAAGTATTATTGAGTAGGCAGTAGGATCGTTTGCATCTTTTTTATTGGATAAGTGTATTTCGAAAGGTATCGATGTCTGTTGCATAATTTCGACAACACCTTCACCTCGAATATTAAGAGCATTTGTACAACTTTTACTATTCCATGGACACCAAAAAGTGCCTGGGTGAGAAAACCATTTGACATCGGTATCATCGGCATCGGATGAAAGACAAGAATATTGTGGTGGTGTACTTGCAACTACGACTAAATACAGAGAAAACAGAGATATATCAATGCCTAAATCAGGTGATTATTTTCAAGTGCGCAAGAATGTTTATCGGTATTCCACACCTCACCCATACCATGTACATGGTCCAAATTTTCATAGTATAAAACAAGAAATTCATCATAGAGTTGTTTTTTGTAATTGACTATTTTCTACATATAAATTATTAGATAGATACTTTCTTTTCCTTTATTTATCTAATTTGTCAAACAAGATTGAAAACAATGAAAACAACAACTAAATACGCTTTTCAATGTAGTATTTTGGTTGTCTCTATGATAAACTTGCTCTCATGTTGTTGTCACGAGCCTTTTCTTTCAGAATAGTATGTGATAGGATCCACTAGCTCATACAGTGTCTGTTATGAACAATCACTCATGTTATTATCAAATCCATGTTCATGTTCTTCTTATCGAAATACATTGCACGCCTAGTTTCGTTTTATCAAGTCTCTTCATTATCCTCTTTTGATGTCAAATCTATACCTCTGATAGATTGGTTATTACTCTATCGATTTCGAAAGCTTTAACTATAAACAACGAGATATGAATGAGAGAACTGCAAATGCATTTCATGCACTCTGGTATGGTTAAAACGAATTTATTTTTGATATGCCTACGATATTTCTAGGTTTTGTTTCATTTAAATAATTATTTGGAAATGAATCTTTAGTTCTATGCAGACTTTAAACGGGAGTATTGCAAAATGTTCTCATCAGTGACCGTCAAATGAAAAGTAACTAGCTATCTAACTAAACCTCCAGCGAAACCAATCAATGATAGCAGGACAAGCATAATCATGAATTTCCAATTTCATTCACACAATAGTACATTAGATAAGTGTCCTGTTCTCTTACCTATATCGAATTATTAATTGTTGAAATTTTCGAAACTATTAGGGAAATAATTAGTGCATCTGTGCTATAAATGTGAAGCCAAGACACAATAATACGAATAAAATATCGGAAAAATAAAATGTATTGTTCATTTTAGGTCACGAAGACATATTGCTTTATTCGTGCATTGCTAGACAGTTAGTAGATTCAAGTTTCTTTCCATTTAACTAAACTGAATTCGTCTATAAGTTCATATCCTCGATTCACTGTGAGTGATGCTGACAAAATTTGTTTATTTTAATATAGATTAGTATTGAAACTGACCTTCTGGTGGAAGAATTGGTATTGGATTTGCTGTTACATTTGGCACTTGGTGTACTTTCACCGCATTCAATGCGAGTACAGGTATTTCTGGTGGTGGTAGCAAATGCAATTGTGTGATTAATTTGTATCGTAGATTTGTCAACAACATTTGCGGATGGTTAAAAATGCCAACTACTGTAACTATTCTCTTCAAGCGAGTTTCCACGAGTGAATATTTTTGTACATTTAGGCAATAAATATAAACTGAATCGAGTTTTTCTTTATGTTGACGATGAATAAACATTGTAATGTCTTCAACTAATCGACCTGCAGAGATAAGAATGACTTTAACAGACGCTGGTTGCTGCTGAAAATATAAGTCGCACTCGCGTTGATCGATCGTTCTGAACCAGCGATCTTCAGCACAAGCAATGATTTTACAAAATCGATTCTTTATCATCTCATAATCTTTAGTCGAATCATCAAACCATAGAAATCGAAGATTCTGTGGAATGTCAGCCTTTACTCCCAATTCTTGTTGTTGTCTTAGTAGTGCTCTTGTTGCCATTCGTACAGTTGATAACAATGTTTCAATCCTATAGCGAGATAGATCAATGAACATTTATGAAGGTCCACTGTACTTTCATCTTTTTCAAATATCTTTTCATCCGACAATAAGTTTATCCATGGTGATGGTTCTGCATTTTTTTTTGTCGGTAAAGGTACATGATCCATCATTTTGTTACATAAAAATAGTCTACACTCAACAGAATGCGGCGAGATTAATAAGAAAGATACTGTTGATGAAAAAGTGGCTGTAGTTGTCAAAAAATGAAATGAGCGATTATTCTCGTATAGAAAAGCTGCATATATCGTTTCATGGACTACCCATCGTATAAGAAATCGCGTTTTCGTTAACCTTAGACATTATGAGCATCTACAGTGCTGGTCAAAAGTCTGCTAACACTGTTTTTATTTGAGTCATGCATTAGAACTACACAAAATTAATTTTATTTGGTTATATGCTTGAATAGTTGAGGTTGAATACTATCTATATATATCGATTTAATACAAAATATCCTCGAATAAAAAGTACACTAACAATAAACAAACTTCAGTGCTAAGAAAAAAATGATATAAAAAATTACAACATGATGATAAAAATGTTTTGGAAGACGTTTTTGTTAAGCAATAGGAATTTATTTACATAGCTTTTGGAGCTTTTTGAAGAAATTTCGACGGTGCATTTACTGAAAAAACATCAAGTTGTTATCATTTCCTTAAGCAATGCCTATGCAAACTATAAGTCTTTCAAACATTTTTATTATCAATTTGTAATTTTTTTTAGCATTTTGTTCGTAGCGCTGAAGTTTGTTTATTGCTATTGTATTTTATTTTCAAGGATATTTTGTATTAAATAAATACATGTATATAGATAGTGTTCAATCTTTACTATATAGGGATATAACCAAATTAAACTAATGTTGTGTGGTTTTCATATACAACTCGAATAAAAAAGGTGTTCCCAGACTTTAGACCCGCACTGTAGTTCTTTCTTTTAGATTCTTTGAAGATTTTCGAATCTTTGAATATTTTACTCTAACTATGACAGGAATCTTAGAGTTCAGGAACATCCGTGTATTTTATTCTATGATTCCTTTGCATCTCCATGTAAGTGAATGGAATAAATCGGATAGAATTTTAGAAAATTTTTTTAAAAATCTTCGTAAAATTGATGTTTAATATATTCTGACATTCACAGCATGCAATCCAGCTGTCTTTTGGATTTTACTTTCACATAAAAAATTAAAAACTTAAAGAAATCGAGATTCTAACATCATTTTAACTGTTTCACTCACTTTTCCATAAAAAATAGTTTTTAATAAGAGCAAAGTCCTTCAGTATGACTTGTACAGACTTACGAGGGAAGGTCCCCAACTTGAAAATCGCTTTCGAACTGAGACTAAGTGGACAATAGGTAATCGAGGGTGCTGAAACCGAATATCACAACCGTTTGGGCTAACGTTTGGGTTTTGAGTCGATTTTTTGGAAAACCAGATCTTCAGGCTCAAAAACTTTTTGCGACAAAACAACTTTTTTCACGTGTCCATATGAAGGAGCATAGCGCAAAACCTATAGAAAGCTACTTTTCAAGGCGACTAGAGGGTTTTTAAGCTTGGTTTTTAGGTAAAAAAAACTAAATACCAAGGACAAAAGTTCTTTTGAAATTCAAAGTTTTTCGCCGTTTTCGCTTAAAATTGTTTAATAAAAAATTTTTTCCTGTTCGTTCTAGATGATTGCTCGTATTGAAGCGTAAACTTTTTGCTATTACCAAAGTTTTTAAAGTTACACAATTGAAATTGAACATATGGTAGTTGTTCAGGTGCAGTTCAAGGACATCCGCAAGTGTTGGAAACATCCGTGCGTCATATGCTGGATTCTCCCAAAATGAAATAGTGGGTTTCTTCCCAGCGTGTTATTACATGTTCTAGGTTGGTATTTTTCCAACATATTCATATACATCGTACTTGGTTTTTTCCAGCATGCTTATAAATATATGTCCTTGCTTTTCTTCTTTCTCGTTCACGATCACATCCACTACTTCGCTAGTTTTCTTGATAGTTCTTTTCCTCTTCCTCTTCTTTCTATTGTTTTCGTTCCTATCTATATCGTGTTGTTAGCGTCAGCAGGTATTACGTAGTTGCCGCTAACTTTTCTCATTCTTTTCCTTCTCCTTTGCGTAACCTATGTGAGGTTCGATATTTCCTGGGCATATGTATATATGTCCATTTTATTATTATTATTATTATTATTATTGTTATTTCTCTTTTTTTTTCTTTCCTTTTTCTCTCTCCATTTCTCTCTCTCGTCTAGTTATATGAACAAGTATGCCCCATCAGTTCAGTTGTGTATTTTGTGTCATCTGGGTGGCACGTTTTCCTTGAATAAAATTCATATTCATTATCTGAACCTATACTATCTTCTATATTACATCAACCTACAAGACAAGGTAGGATTACTAACACTACTAATCCAGCTAATACAGATCATAGTTTTCTATTGATTCCTTCCGGCCTACTAACATTTAGTGGGTAGGAGATTTGGATGAAAGAGAAAGCTAACACGTGTCACGTGTAGTACGAATAAATCGAACTCACCCACACAAGCACAGAGTTTATAGTAATTAGCTGGTAAGTGCGTTTTTTGTCGATTTCGCCTATCCACAACGCATCATTATATTTTCAGGTGCAATGAACGCTCAAAATATCGTCTCGGCTCTGTCTGAATTACTTAATAATAATCTTTCTATTAGTATGTCATCTTCCGTGACAGTGTCAGAGCGTCAAATGGCTGAACATTTAGCTGATACAATAGGATTCTTGTCACAATCTCAACGAGTTTATTACGAGGAGGAAACTACTATCGACATCGGCGAGGAGTCTAATGAAGATGAAAGTGATGAAGACGAGGAAAAATTTGGTGAAGATAAGGATACTGAAAACAGAGATCCGGACTGGAGCGACGAAAGTCTTGCACGGGAAAAGTTTGGTTTAAAAGAATATTCTGAGGACTTTATGCGTGAAGTTATTGACTATGTTGACGGGACCAATAAGTCTAGCGGCAAACGTTGTCGGTCATGGAAATCGATACATAATCGATTTAAAAGTATACCAAATCAGAACTACATCAGTAACTTTCGTCACTATTTGGAACGCCACGGTACAAAACGGCAGAAAGCTCAAAACGTGGATGAATTAGTTTTTAAGAAGGTGATTGAAGCAAGAGAAAAAAGTCTTGCCGTGCATGATCTCGATATTCAAAGATGGTCCTTGAGAATTGCAAAAGACTTAAAGTTGGAAGATTTTCATAGCTCTCATCATTGGCTCGAAAATTTCAAGACACGACATAAACTAGTCTCCCGTAGAATAACGAATTTCGCTTCTCACCATCAAGTGGAAAGTTTTGATGAGGTTCAAAAATCCAAACTTGACTTTATTTCAGAATACAGTAAACTTTCGTTCCATTACAAACCGTCTGAAATTCTAAATACAGATCAGACAGGTGTTGAGAGAGAACTACATTCATCACGTACTATATCTTTTTCGGGTGAAAAGAAAACTTTCGGTGCGGTGCAATCGAAAAATGCAACGACACATTCTTATACTTTGCAACCGACCATTTCACTAGATGGAAAACTATTCGAGCAAATTTATTTATGTTTGCAAGAACCAAACGGTAAGGTATTACCCTCTTCCGTCTCATTTCTCTCTCATTCTACAAACTTTCAATCATTGTTTTAGGAAAAATGGGAGAACAAGTGAAAAAACACCTTTTTCAGCCAAAAAACGTTGTCATTACATGTTCATTGTCGGGAAAATTGACCACATCTTTGGTAGAATATTGGAGAGATCACTGTTTGTTGCCATTAATTGGTGCCAAATGTTTGTTACTCTCTGATAGCTATCCTGGTCAAAGTCATGAGGAGACGTATGAGTCGAAAAATTGTGGGGGCAAAAAAAAGTTCACCGTTTACAAATCCCACGAAACACAACCGATGATCTTCAGCCGTTAGACTGTTTTTTCAATAGACAGATAAAAAATTTCTTGAAAACATGCTACAATCGTGTTGCTCTAGATGAGCTAGACATTCCATTACATCAGCGTAACAATATCATTCAGTTAGTCAGTCTAATGCACAATCAGTTAAGTACGAAAGTCTTTGCATCAATGATTCGGTACAGTTGGTATGCCAGTGGATAAACGAAAGACGATCCAAGGCCATTTAAAACAGTAAACGAAGTGTGTTTTCCGAGATCAGAAACTCATGATGAGTGTGAGGAAAAAAACTGCACTAAATCAGTGTTTATTACGTGTGCTGTCTGTTCTACGAAACTATGTTTCGAACAATTCTTTGTCAGTTATCATTTTCATTGAAATAACAGTAAGTGTATTTCACGTGCACAACTGGAGCCATTTTAAAGTGTACTAGTTTCTTTCTAGGTTTACTTAGGGCGTACCAAAAGTTCGTGTCCCGCTATTTAAAGGGCCTCCTCGGATGGGTGAACCGATTGAGAAATAAGAAACAAATATATCATCTTGTAGAGCTTTTCGAGCCGCATCGAATGGTATATAGTAAATTCTGTTTTCATAGAACTTTGAAGGACCTAG